ATATTAAGGGAAAGAGCAGGAGGTCTTGACCATTAGGAAAAACAGAGAAGATCCTTCAAAACTCCTCACGATTCATCATCCCAATGTCATACCTCCTTAACACAAAGAAAATTTGTAGCATAAAAAAAAATCAGAAGAGGCCTGGAACTGGCACAGTAAGCGGTTTCCCACGTCTTATTGTGGCATCACCACAATAAGGCATCACCAGCAGGGCTTAATCAGTGCTTTTTTAGAGATCTACTCATGCTTTTTCTTCAAATTGAAAGAAATCCACACCCACAATTTGGCTTTCCTCTTTTTCTATAGGGCCAAATAGGTTGTTAGAAGGAAGAGATCAGCCAGTTTTATCTAATTCCACCTCAAGTAGCTTCCATTTCATTATTCTGTGGGAAGTTATCATCCAGCCCTCTCCCAGAAAAATGAAATATCCTAGGAAATATTGAAAAGGCAGAACATAAAGGACATTTCTTTCAACAATTCTTTGCTTTTAACAAATTGTTAAAAAAAACAAACAAGAAAGAACAACATCAACTTTTCTGCATGAATGCTTCCTTTCTCCCTTCTTTTTTTGTCCAAACCAGGATGGCCATTCCCTTTTTCAAAGCAATTCTTTCTCTTTTAGCAATTAATAAGAGGTTTTAAATATAGAACAGGAGTTTTAAATATTAACCCACAAATACTGGGTCTTTCTAAAACTATGTCATAGCAGATACATATAATGAACAACCCAGTTGAGTTCCAGAAATATAAATCTATATAATTAAAAAAAGAGATAGAAGAAAGATCAGTGGTCACCAACTGGTGTCCCGTGGACCACTGGTGGTCCGCAAGAAAATTTTGGTGGTCTGCAGAAAAATTATTTGCATTTTTTTATATTGCACTAAATACTATTTATCTTTTTTTTTAAATCATATTAGTGGTCCGCGGGATTTAAGATTATGAATTTAGTGGTCCCTGAGGTCCGAAAGGCTGGTGACCCCTGGACTAGATAGGTAAGACAGACAGATAGATAAGATGGACAGACAGACAGACAGACAGATGAAGTCCAACTTGTGTGCTTTAGAAGGTTTACTTTGAGGTAACCTATAGCATGGAAGTGGACCCTTACAGTATACACAGAGAGGAAGGATTTACAAAAGGAAGAGAGGATTAGAGCAAATTTGGTAAATTGCACGTGTAAATCGGCTCCCAAATTGGTTGAGGTTCAGATCCATATATGCACTAGTAGTTCCAAACAAAACATTTTCAGGCCAGAAATGAAGACCTAAGGAAGGAATGTGTTGATCTCCCCCTTTCCTCCCCCCGTTTTTCTTACCAGCACAGGATCTGGTCTTCCAAATTTTCAACAGCAAGATGATTATAGCCAACAGATGCGAGATGTCTCCCAGGAAGCGGAATAGATTCATGGCGTTCCGGATGGGCTGCCGTAGGAAAAGCTTGGCTTGACTTTCTCAGTGGGGAATCTGCCGAAAGAGAGGGAGAGGAGCCTGTTGGGGGAGGAGGAGATCCTCAACAAAACCGAGTTGGGGGAGGAGATGAAGTGGCTTTATTGTCTCCCACCTTTCAATCTAAACCGACAAGCCGGATTATCAGAGTTGGCATATAAGGATGGCTCGGAACCAAGGCCACAAAAGGGGAGGAGAGAAAAGCTCGCCACGCCCATAGGTGGGCATGATTCAGACAGCGGGTGGGCGGGGCAGCGGGATGGAAGAAGGGAGGTGGGCGGGCTTCCGCTTGCTGTAGTTGGGCGGAGGAGCCCGCCCGCTTCCCCCCTCTCCCCTGTGTGGAAAGCCAAAAATGAGGGGTGGGTGGGTATCTTCCTGGGGAGCCCCTTTTGCAAGGAACCTTTTTAAAAGGACAATTTTATATTACTTCTGTCTGGCTGTGGGAAGAGAGGGCCGGGGCGATCCGCGTGGCGGGGTAATCCCTGCCCGACCGTTTTCCCTTCACACCCACCAGAAAAGGCGCCAATGAGGGGAGCAACAAAGGGTTGCAGGGCTCCCCAAACTTGGCAACTTTAAGACTTGTGGACTTCAACTCCCAGAGTTCCTCAGTCAGCAAAGCTCAGCCAACAGGGCAAAGCTAGCTGAGGAACTCTGGGAGTTGAAGTCCACAAGTCTTAAAGTTGCCATATTTTGAGACCTCTGGGTTAGAGGCATTGCTGCATTTGCACTGTAGCAATTAAAACACAGCCAATGATTTTTAAAGCTGCCTCGGAGGCAAGCTGGGCATCTTGCCCGAAGCAAGAAAGAGGAACGGCTCTGCTTTTTGGGGAAGGTGCCAGAGATTTAGCAGAGGTGCCTCCCCACAAACTGTTCCGCTCAGCTGGGGCCACGTTTGCACTAGACCAGGAAGCAGATTGAAAAGTACTATGTGGCAGAAATTCCGACACATAAACACACCCCTTCTTACAAACAAAATCTGTGAGGCTTAGGTCCCTTTCTATCCCAGTGGCTTACAGGTAGTCCTCGATTTACAACCATTCTTTAAGTGACAGTTCAAAGAAAAAAGGGATGTCACTTTTTTCACATGACCGTTGCAGCACCCCAAAAGGTACGTGATCAAAATGCAGGTGTTTGGCAACTGACTCATATTTATGACGGGTGCAGTGCCCAAGGGTCCATTTTACGAACTTCTGACAAGCAAAGTCAATGGGGAAGCCAGGGTCACTTAACAACCATGTTACTAACTTAACAACTGGAATGATTTACTTAACAACTGCAGCAAGAAAGGTCATAAAATGGGGAAAAACTCAATAAATTATGATTCTCGATATCTTGTCTTTTTATGTACACTGAGAGCATATGCACCAAAGACATATTCCTTCGTGGCACGACAAAACCACGCTCGACTAAGCCGCGCCCGATTAAACTGCGTCGCTGACGTCATCAACAGGGCGACAACAGCGAGCGCGGAGAAAGAAGGGCGCTTTAAATAGCGCTTTGAAAGCAAGCCGATTCAACTTAGGTAAGGGTTAGCTTTAGGGTTAGGCTTAGGTTAAGGGTTAGGGTTAGGTTAAGAGTTAAGTTAAGGGTTAGGATTAGGTTTAGGGTTAGGTTAAGGGTTAGGTTAAGGGTTAGGTTAAGGGTTAGGCTTAGGGTTAGGTTTAGGATTAGGTTTAGGGGGGTTAGGGTTAGGTTTAGGGGTTAATTTTAGGTTTAGCGTTTACAGCGTGCTTCTGTCTCCACGCTGTTGTCGCCCTGTTGATGACGTCAGCTACGCGGTTTCGTCGAGCGCGGTTTAATCGAACGTGGTTTTGTGGTGGAACCATATTCCTTGTGTGTCCAATCACACTTGACCAATAAAGAATTCTATTCTATTCTATTCTATTCTATTCTAAATGTCTCCCTTGTCAACATAAATTTTGGACTCAATTGTGATCGTAAATCGAGGATATACCTGCATATGGCTTAACTTTCTTGTATATGGCTTTGAGAGCCTTTGGGCAGAAAATAGCATAAGAACTTATTTTATTTATTCAATTTATATGCCATGATTTTGCTATTGAAGCAACTCTGGACTGCTATATAAATTAATAGTACTC